GAGAGGAGGTGCTAGGATAAGACGGTGGGCGAGGAGCAGCCGATCCGTCTCAGTCGTCGAGGATCCCCCGCGCCGACCGGGATCCCTCCGCAGCCCCACCGACCAAGATCACTTCACCGCGCCGCCACCCACCACGATGCTCCACATCACGATGCCGGCCAGCCTGTGGAGCCGCCCTTCCCTGCACCGGTGGGATAAGAAACCTCCTCCTCTGCGCCGTCCCGGTGGCTAGGATCCGCCCCACTGAGCTCCGCCTGCGCCGCCGCCACCCTCCCTCCCTGGCTGTGACCAAACCCTGCGCCACCGCCCCCCTCCCTCCCTGACCAAACCACTAGGTCGCCCGCATAAAGCATTCAATCATTCTTGTGTTCGAGAATTGAAAGGAAAACTAAAAGTAAAACATCATCAGCATGAAAGCTCCTTGCAGCGTAGTGGTTAAGCTAGAATTATGGTTAGTCACAAGTCATGGGTTCGACCCCCAAGTGCTGCAGCATTTTTTTTAGAAAAAAGAGTTCACATGGGCTGCACAGATTCACACATGGGCTGCACAAATTCACGGACTGCACAAATTTGGGCTGCGAAAAAAAAGTTCACATGGGCTGCACAGATTGACACATGGGCTGCACAAATTCACGTGGACTGCACAAAGCATCTGCTGGCCCGAAAACGCACCTGTGCTGCATATACAATGTGGGGTCCAATAACAATCTGGATAGCCACGTATACAATGTGGGGTCCAGTGACAACCTAGATAGCCACATATGCAAGGTGGGACCAACAGCAGAATAGAGATTTACTTACAACTAACGAAATATATTTCAGCATATTGTATTAATAAAGGAGCGTCATAAGTGTGTTACATGAATGGTGCGCACCATTTTGTGACGAAATTATCTATTGTTTTATGACACCATTTTAAATTTCGTCATGGAGTTTCGATGTCTACCCTCCGCCATGAGTGATCCATGACGAAACATGAAATTTCGTCATAGATATGTTGTATTCAATGACGAAATTATACAACGTCATGAGCAAAACGTCATAGATGGACGATTTCCTACTAGTGGCAGCGAGGCATTGGTGGCAGTGCCAGAGCCGTGGGGACGGAGGAGGGCGGTGAGCCGGCGTTGGTAGCAGGGGCATAGCGAGCTTGTGGTGGCAGATCCTGCGGCGAGTAGTTGCTGGAGACGAGGAATACGACGGGCCGAGAGCATCTCGTCTTCGATGGCTCGAGGAGGGAGGTGAGGGAGGAGGCCGGCCGGGGGGCCTCGTCGGCGCCGTTGACGCCTTCCAGCCAGCCGGCGAGGTCGGGCGACGGCGCGCTGGGGTGGCGACGACGGTGGCGGAGGCGGCGCAGAATGCGCTTGCGCTGAGGAGCGGCGGTGTGAGGGGGAATCGGGAGAGGAGAGGTTTTGTAGGGTTTGGTTGCCTGCACGAATCTTAAAGCAATCGGGTGGTCTAAAATTTATAAGATTCCTAAGGGGGTTTTCTGTCAAATGATTTATAGACAGTCTCGTTATATGCCTACAAAATATTTCATACATGGATATAAGTATTAGGTGTAAATATGTACCCACGAACTATTGTATTCATTTAGAGAATGGAACTTTAAAGCATATAGAATATTCGTGGCAGTTACAAAAGGATAATATGAAGCGGGAGATCAAGATAAAAGCATGTATTAGGAGCTTAGATATGGTTTAGACCCTTTTGGAGAAAGAAAAAGTACGAAATATACCCTGAACTCAAAAACCAGATATTTTACACCCTAAAGTATATAAACCGGACAAATACCCCCCCCCCTAACATAATTTGAAGTGGTTTCGATCCTACGTGGCAGTCCAGTCAGCAATTTTTTTATTAAAAAATAGGTGGGGCCAGCATGTCATACTCTCCCTCTCTCTACCTCTTTCCCCTCTCACCTTTCTCTATCTACTCTATCATCCTCTCTCTCTCTCACTGAGCAGAGCAGGGAGGAGCAGATGGATCCTTGCCGGCAGCCTCCAACGGGCGGCGTTGGACAGCGACGGGCAGAGGAGCTCCCTATCCCCTCTCTCTATCTCGCGGTTGGGGGCAACGGGCGAGGGGTTGAAGGTAGCTGGGGGAGGCAGGCACGGTGGCAAAGGTGGCAGCCACGGCAGTGACCACCTCCCATGCCTCGCATTGGCGGCCTCGAGCAACAACGAAAACCTTCAATTGGCATCATCCGCCTGACAACAACGACGACGACGACCTTCGATTACGACGGGGACAGGGAGATCTGGAGGTGAACAGGCGGTGGGCGGGCGGACGGTCGGCGAGGACAGGCAGTGTGCGGGGACGGGCGATGGGCGGCGGCGCAGGGACATGCGGTGGCGAGCGGGGGGACGATGGGCAGTGGGCAGGTGGTCGGTTGGCGCCGACGCACGGCGGTGTTGCCGGAATCAACCATTGGAGGGTGGGAAGGGAGGGAGATCTGAGGTGCCAGAGCTAGTTCGCGCGCGCGCGCCAGCAACGTTGCTGGCGCGCGCGGCCCCTCACCACGCCAAGCCTTCCTTTTTCTATTTTTGGCAATTTTTTTTGCTTTTTTTTCCGGTTTTTTCTGATTACATTTTCTAATCTTTAGCCCACATATTTTTTTCAAAATGTTTTGAGTTGAAAGTTTTTAAATCTCTAGTTAAAAATTTTCAAATCTGATTTGAAAGTTTTCAAATCTCGAGTTGAAAAGTTTTCAAATCTCGAGTTGAAAAGTTTTCAAATCTCGAGTTGAAAAGTTTTCAAATATGAGTTGAAAGTTTTTAAAAGTGGGTTGAAAGTTTTCAAATCTTGAGTTGAAAAGTTTTCAAATTTGAGTTGAAAGTTTTCAAATCTGGGTTGAAAGTTTTTCAAATTTGAGATGATAACTTGAAAGTTTTCATAATTTGATTTGAAAAATTTAAATTTCAAGTTGAAAGTTTTCAAAATTTTGAAAATTTGACTTCAGATATAGATTTCTTTTTAATTTGTTAGTTAAAAAATTTCATGAAAAAAAATCCTAACTACTATCGTTATTATCTCAAACTATAATTATCTAAGAGATTAAGACTAATAGAATTAGTCTAACTACCCGAAAAACAGCGCCAGGGACGCGCACCTGCCTCTCCGCCACGGCTGCCGCCTCCGGTCGCCATCCGCCTCTTTGCCGCTTGCCGTTTGCCTTCTTGATGGTGAGCATGGCGAGGGACCATGGCACCACTCCACCTCACCGGCGTTCACCTCCGCAGCGTCGACTTCGCTGCCGCTGCTGTGTTTTTCACAAGGCCGGGGAGAAGAGAGAGAGAGGATAGGGAAAGAGGTAGAGAGAGGTGAGGGGGAGAGATCTGATAAGTGGCCCCCTTGATTTTAATTATTTTTTTTCTGACTAGACCGCCACGTAAGATGAAACCAGTTCTAGATTGCGGTAGGGGGTTATTCGTCTGGTTTAAAAAGTTCGAGGTATAAAATGTCTAGTTTTGTGTTTCAGAGAGGTAATTCGGTTGACCATGATAGTTCGGCGCGGGGGGGGTGGGAGGGGGGGTAATTCGTATTTTTTCCTATATCCAAAAAGTTTTCTTAAACATAAAACTTCTATCGATCACAATTTCATTTTAAAATATGTCTAGAAATTGTTAAACAAGAACAAATACTCCAATATTTGCTAGATTGGGTATAGGCCCGTTGATGCATTCATCGAATTATTGGGAATTCCATCTCAAAACTCACAAAATCTTATATAAAACATTGCAAAAAAAAAACACTTCTATTGCAAAAATCTTGCAGATAAATTTTCTTTTTCCAATGATGCAGCTTATATTTATCACTTAAAAAAGTCATCTCCTGTGCCGTGGCTCCATTTGCTCCCTTTTATTTATTTCCCCCCATCCCGGTTATAGATCAAATCCATTTGACCATTAAAAGAAGCCAAAATAATCAAGCAGTACCAGATCACACAAGGCATCTAGAAAGAAAGAAGAAAAAAAACGATATTTTTTTTAAAAGAATCAGGAAAAATATATCCAGGAACCATGGTACAAACTACTGAAACTGTTGTGCAAACTTCTTGATCTTTTGGGATATTTCTAATTTAGGTTTTTTTTTGTTGAATTAACTGAACAGTGGACACCTTTTTTTTCAAAAAAAATCTTTGACCAAATGAGAATAGTTTAAAAGAAATGAAGAGAGCTGTGACAAAAGAGAGTACCGTCTTCATGCGGAAGAAATGGCATTAGAGGTTATACAAGTGGCAAGTAAAAATGGTCTAAACTTTATGGCAGGCTAGTAAAAAATAGTAATATAAACAACAACAGTCTAAGCAAAATTTAACTAAGGATTACAACAATCCATAATGATGTAGTACCAATCAAGCTGTCAGAGAGATCTCAGGCTCTGATGCTATGTTGAATCTCAATCCCCAAATCAATGCCTGTCCATGGGCCAAATCCCAGGGAATTCGTGCAAGCCCCGCTGAGCTGCACATGACTAGGACCCTATTTGAAAGATTAGCCCAGAACTAATTTTGAGAGCTAATATTTAGTAATGAATTGGTAGGCTAAACATTAGTCTAGGTTGGTATGTTTGGATCTATGGGCTAATTCAAGGCTAAAAGGTAGAGAGAGAGTAGAAAGAGAGGAGAGAGAAGGAGAGAGAGAGCTGCTTTTTGATGGTCCCCACACAAAATTAGCCCCATTAGCACTTCTTAGAGAGGCTAATATTTTGAGAGGGGCTAATTCATATTAGCTCAAAATTAGACAACCTGTTTGGATTCTTGAGAGCTAATTTAAGGCTAAAAGGTAAGAGCTAAACATTAGCCCATGGAAACAAACAGGGCCAGGAATCTTCTAATCTCCCTTTCATGTGTCCCTCCTTTTTTTCTCCCTATCCCCAAAGATTTCACATTTTCTAATGAGCATCATGCCGTCCATGAGCTCTGTTTTTTATCCTAACACCCCTCTGCAGCCGTGCTCACCCTCTATAAATACCCCATACAGGTGTCTTCCAATAGCACCACCATTTGGAAGAATCCTCCCCAAGATTGCTCGATCCCCTCGTGTCCCTCTCTCCCAACAACACTGCGCCACAGACACAAATCACACTCAGATACGAAAGATAAGTACAGAGAGAGAGAGAGGGCACGGATTATACACTGCACACAAGCATATATATATATATATCGATTAGCCATCCGTGCTGATCTGAAGAGTATCATCGGTAGAGAGTTTTACAGAGTTGTTTGGACAAGGAGACACACACATGGCTTTCTTGCTCTTCTTTGTCTTTGTGACAGCTGCAGTGCTGTGCTTCGTCGTCCCGGCGTTCTTGCTGCTCTGCACGAGCGTGCAGAGGAGGAGAGATGTTGGACAGGGTGGAGGGCGAGATTGGCAGAAGAAGAAGAAGCTCAGGCTTCCTCCGGGATCCATGGGCTGGCCGTACGTCGGCGAGACGCTCCAGCTCTACTCCCAGGACCCCAACGTCTTCTTCGCCTCCAAGCAGAAGAGGTAACTAGGCAATTCCTCCGTCTCATAATATAAAAAGTTTTAGCTTATATAGTCAGATATATAATTTAAAAATTGATGGCGAATGTGCTTAATATGTTGTCGTCCTCGTTGATGGTTGTGTTATTTTTGGGTGTAAGGTACGGCGAGATATTCAAGACGAATCTGCTGGGGTGCCCGTGCGTGATGCTGGCGAGCCCGGAGGCGGCGAGGTTCGTGCTGGTGTCGCAGGCGAGGCTGTTCAAGCCGACGTACCCGCCGAGCAAGGAGCGGATGATCGGGCCGTCGGCGCTCTTCTTCCACCAGGGCGAGTACCACCTCCGCCTCCGCCGCCTCGTCCAGGCCGCCCTCGCCCCGGACTCCCTCCGCGCCCTCGTCCCGGACGTCGACGCCGCCGTCGCCGCCACGCTCGCCGCCTGGTCCGGCGGCCACGTCGCCAGCACCTTCCACGCCATGAAGAAGGTGAGCGCACGCACACGCACACGCAGTTGCCGCCAGTTGCCACAGACCAGGGGTCGATCGGCTCGGCGTCACGCGACACGAGTGAAGCTAAGTGACGTGTGGGGCGCGCGCGCGTCCCGGACGTGTTTGTTGTTATGCGCGCGCGGCGTGTACGTAATGCGTGACCGGTGTTCGTGTTCTCTCTCTCTTTTGTATCCAGCTCTCGTTCGACGTCGGCGTCGTGACCATCTTCGGCGGCCGGCTCGGCCGCCGGCACAGGGAGGAGCTGAGGACGAACTACTCCGTCGTGGAGAGAGGCTACAACTGCTTCCCCAACCGCTTCCCGGGGACGCTCTACCACAAGGCGATCCAGGTATACGCACGCGCGCACCCGCAAATCTCTGTCGAATTCGACATTGATCATCATGCAAATTAAACGGCATGCGTTGCGCATGCAGGCGAGGAAGCGGCTGCGCGCGATCCTGAGCGAGATCGTGGCGGAGCGGCGGGCGCGCGGCGGCGGCGGCGGCGGCGGCGGCGACGACCTCCTCGGCGGCCTCATGCGGTCGCGCGACGACGGCACCGCCGGCGCGGTGGCGCTGCTCACCGACGACCAGATCGCCGACAACGTCGTCGGCGTGCTGTTCGCGGCGCAGGACACCACCGCCAGCGTCCTCACCTGGATCCTCAAGTACCTCCACGACTCGCCGAAGCTTCTCGAAGCCGTCAAGGTAAACGCAACGATAATTAACCAGAGTTTAAGTACTCGATCACGATCGAGCGAGAACGATGGTGAGCTAACCACCGATGCTTTTTTTTTCCGTCGTGTCGATCGCGCGCGCGCAGGCGGAGCAGATGGCGATCTACGTGGCCAACGAGGGCGGGAAGCGGCCGCTGACGTGGACGCAGACGAGGAGCATGACACTCACGCATCAGGTACAAGCATGCCTCTTTGTTGTTTTTACTCCCGTTTTATTGTTACAAGGAAGACGAATATGCACCTATTGCTGCATCACACATCACGGAAAAGAATGGCTTTAGTTTAGTTTGGAGATTAGCTAGCATTTTGTGTTTGGAAGTATATGTTTGGCTGTGTATATCTACTGTATATCTATATGTGTGGATATATATAGAGAGACTTAATTATTATTCTTATTTGGTTTAGAAATGAGGTGGGATGAGTTAGACTTATCCTTATTTTTTTAATGGGATAATCCAATTATCTGTTTGGCATGAGAGATGGAGTGATCTTATTTTTCTTAGGGAAGGAGGGGGTGGCCCACATATCAATAACAGAGAGAAAGTGAGTTAGATTGGTCCACCAAATTTTGAGATATGAAATTGATCCGAATCTTAGGGAAATATTCCTTTTGGGAATCAATCCATCACATCTATTTCTAAACAAACATCCTGAAAAATGGATTTGCCCCAACCTAGCCTATATCAATTGAACCAAACACATGCCAAAAGTTCAGTAGCACTGTGCTCATTTGTGCCACTTTGTTTCCATTCGATGCAGGTTATACTGGAGAGCTTGAGGATGGCGAGCATAATCTCCTTCACGTTCAGAGAGGCAGTCGCCGACGTGGAGTACAAAGGTAAGCACGTGTTCAACATGGATTGGGAGTCAGTGTACACTGTACTGGAGTCACTGAACAAAAGCTAGCAGTAGCAGCTTGCATTTTGCAGTACGTTAGCCAGTTGTACCACCAGCTGGATCATATATATGGATCATGCATGTACAGTTCCTCCCATTGCACCTCGATGTGGTCCTAATAATATGGACTCCAAATTAAAGTCACCTTGAGAAAATATCGTACAAGATTAAACAATAAGAAAAAAAATGGAACCTCGGATAAGGCCATGGAAATAAATAAATGGGTTTAAAAATGGATAATATCGAGGTGTCTACACATATATATCATGGATCATAAGTCAACCTTGCATTCATGAGATCAATGTTAAGGAACATACACATCTTCAAGCATATCTAGTGGCCAAAAATGATCGAAATCTATCATACCTTTTGGGAATAATTGTTGATTTATTGTGCCAGTCAATCTCCTTTTTTCACATACTATAGATAAAAATCCTAGCATATGCATATATAGGATATTTTTATGCGCAATATTGTAGAACATATTTCCCATTAATTGTTTGATCTATCAAAGTTTGGAGGTTCCTAGGACTAGCTAGAAAAGGTGTAAACCGTTTTGGGAGGGTTAATGCTTAGCAACCTCACCAAATGCTAGTAATTAACTCCAACCGTTTTGGGAGGGTTAATGTTTATCATGGGAGGGTTAATGTTTTCTTTAAAAAAATATTGTGGTCTTCTGTAATAAGACTGATAACCAACTGCATGCATGCTCCCCCTTGAAGAGAGGTGTTCAGTAAATTTCAATCGAAATAGGGGCAACAGACAAATTCATATTTTGTAGCAAAGATAAAGATATACTGTAAATAAAAAAATTAAAATTAAGGAACATAAACTACATGATGAGTAACGTCATATCCACCTCAGCATAATCATGCTGCTCCGAACAAGTGGCTTGATTATTTCTCATGCATATAAGCCACATGGCAATAAAGAGGGATGCATTTTAATTTGTTTAGGCACAGTTAATTGTCGTCTCCAGTGTTGTATGAACAGCAGAGCACCCTATTTCAGCTTCCTTGTGTGATATGATATACTGACATGAGATGGTGTATTTTTCGCCATAAAAGGGGGCAAAACATCCATGTCCTCTCGTTCCGATTAATATCTGAATCATCAGCATCACAACGGGCGGTCCAGATGCATCCTTAGCTGCTCCTGTTCCCGGCCGGCACCGGTAGCTAGCGACCGATTCACTCCATTTTCGAGTGGCAGCGTAGCTGCAGAAATGAATTGAGATTGGGAAAGCAATTGAGGTGGTTCTGGGAACATTTATTATGTCGTATAATAGAAGCGGCATAATAATTAGGAACATTAATTATGTAGAGTAGCACTCAGTGTTTAATTTGCAAAGTGGTATCTTTCGACAAGTTAAAGTCGCATATATATATTTTCGTCACTGAATTCAATTTCGAGTGAGACTGAACGACGTTTGTGTCGATCTGTTTTGTGGTGTTTTGTCAGGTTTCCTGATTCCAAAGGGGTGGAAGGTGATGCCTCTGTTCAGGAACATCCATCACAACCCGGACTACTTCCAGGATCCACAAAAGTTTGATCCTTCTAGATTCAAGGTAATGGGTCCTATTCCTTACTCCTAAGCTACTGCTCACTGACCCTTGAATATGGATTGCATCAGACTAAAGTAAACTATTAGCGGCATTAAGTACACACGAAGACTTTTAGGACATCCCATCAGAAGAGTGGTAGTAGCACAGTTGCAAATCCTCACACACGCTCAAAATTCAGACTCTGGTCTCGCTTACGAGACATGCAGCAAAGTCAAAGGAAGCAATTACTGGCTGCTTACCATCTTCGTTCACACTCATTGTTGACTCTTTTGCGTAGACTCATTAAACCAGATCACTAATTTAACATCAGTTTAATTCCCCGGCCAGGCCTGCACTAGCTTGGGCGTACTTAACGACGACATCTCTGAATTTTGCCGGCCGCTTCAGTAAGCAGGTGGCAGCTAATTAAGTGTTGTGCATGCACGCGGCCAAGTCCAAACCAAACACTAGCTAGAGTACAAAGGTTAATTTAGGCTCACTAAGATACAATCTCTCGAGCATTAGCAGCCGGAGATTAGGCCGCGAATCTTTTGGACTTTGGTTGGACCGAGAGTGACTCATCCTTCAGTGTACGTGCGTGCGTGACGCGTGGCTGTGCGTGCAGGTGGCGCCGCGTCCAAGCACGTTCCTGCCGTTCGGGAGCGGCGTGCACGCGTGCCCGGGCAACGAGCTGGCCAAGCTGGAGATGCTCGTCCTCGTCCACCGCCTCGTCACCGCCTACAGGTAAGTGATACGGCGTACGTGAAAACCACCGTGTTTTCCACGGCTTTTGCCGGTGGCGATCGACAGTGTGACGGACGGCGTACGAGCGGATGATGTTGTTGTTGTTGTTGCAGGTGGGAGATCGTCGGGGCGAGCGACGAGGTGGAGTACAGCCCGTTCCCGGTGCCGAGGGGCGGGCTCAACGCCAAGCTGTGGAAGCAGGAGGCGGAGGAGGACATGTACATGGCCATGGGCACCATCACAGCAGCAGGTGCTTGACACGTACTACTGCTGATGGTGGCTGATGTGTCCTTGGTTTCTTTTCGTCGCCGTGTGTGTGGATGCAATGGTCGATCGATCGATCTCTCCTGTAATCCTCGGATAAAGCAAAGGCCATGGGAGGGATGAGATGATCGTGTAGCAAAATCTCTCTTCACTTTTTCGTGTGTGTGTGTTGGGTTGGATAATGGTGGTCCATGGATATCGTTCGATGATCGATGATGATGATGCTAAACCTAGTCTTGGTGTGCCTAGTGTAGCACTAGGAGTAGTAGTTTATCAATTGCTTAGCTGTTAGCTAGCATCGCTTTGCATTGGGTTAATACAGCTAGCTGTCAAGCTTATAAGTAATTAAGCTCTCTAATCAGGGTTTTAAATCTCCTGTTTGAGAAGTTTGAGAAGGATTCTCTCATGTACAATTTAGCCGCTATAACTTCATTTAGCCTGGCTATAACTGTTTGAGAAGCTAACCGCTAAATGTCTTAGCCTGCTACTTAAAAACATTGCTCTTTATTGCAACTGCAAACTCGAGCATGTGTCATGCATGAACATGGCAGTTGTGATGTCACTTCTGAGTTCTCTGACTGTAACACCAGTATCAGCGACATTGAAATGCTGCCACATGCCAGAAGTCTGTGGCTATCAGGGTATGCATCATCGATCGATCACACCAGTGATATATCTGTGTACTTTTCTAAAGCTGATTGTTACTCCCTGGTCCCATTTTAACTGCAATCATGAGTTTCCGCGTTCAATTTTAATCGTCCGTCTTTTTTAAATTGTTTTTATAATTAGTTTTTTTTATAAAATGACAAAACATGATCGAATAGTACTCCACTTGTGACTTATGTTTTCAATTTTTTTAAAAAAACAATTTAAATAAAACGGACGATCAAAACTGAACGCGAAAAACTATAGCTGCACTTGAAATGGGACCGAGGGAGTAGTACTTTCACCTTCACCTTGGATAAAAAATAATTTGGTGATCACAGGGCTGGCCTCTTCTTTTAAGGAGATCTCTTTAAGTTTTCTGAAAGAAATCGAAGAATCTGTGTAATAATATCAGGTTGATCTCTAGACATCATAGATAATCGCGCATGATCTTAAGTCCAAAACAAAAGCTTGCATTATCCATACTTGTCGCCACAACGGCATGCCACTTATTACAGCCGATGTGACCACTACACCAACCATATGGATCAACCACTGCAAGACTGATCGCCAGCTTGTCACTAGTAAAAAAAACAATAGTAAAATTATTTAGATAACAAAAATGGATTGAAAAAACAACCGTAATAATTTGTACCATAGAATGTACATGTTAGCAGTTTTTTTAGACAGTTCTGTGTTTGAATATGAAGTGAATTTGTTTATCTTTTCTCATCAATTAAGCTTTTGAGTTAAACTGTATATAAACCTCAACATAATATCAGAACAACTCAATATAGTATCAGACAGAAATCTCGAGTTCAAATCCTTGCTGAAGCGTAATTAAATAAAAGTTGTACACCACTTCTATTCCACGCTTGAGACTTGACGGAGCCTCACGTGAGGAGAAGTGTTAAAATATAAAGTGAATTTGCTTACCTTTCTTTATCAGCTTAAAATTTTAAGCTAAATCGGTCCATTTGTGCAACTCAATATTCTTCGATGCGTGGTGGAGCTGCCTGTGGATGTGGCGTGGTCTTCGGTGCACGAAGGCTAGCCGGCGGGGGTATTGGTGCAGGGGCCCCACATGTCGGCAGAGTTTGAGTGGTGGTGAAGTATCGGTGCGTCAGCCGTGGATTGGCAGGTGGTGAGCGGCGGGTGAAAACCAAGCCCGGCCTTGGCCGGACCGACAACGATGGTCAATTCCCCCTCCTAAGGGCGTTGTCGTGCTGTCTTACCCCTCAAGGGTGGTTGCCGGGCGAAAGCCCAGTCTTGGCTCCTTTGAGCCCTGACGGATGGCGGCGGTGGTTTTCCATCGCTTCTCTTCTTGAAGACGTCGTTTTGGCACCCCCTTGTTGTAGGGCGATCTCGTCTGTGTTCCTTTGTTGGTCTAGCGGCGGCCGGTCACGCTTAGCGGTGGCCGGTCCGGTGCTAACCTTCTCCTGGTCGTGTGTGTTGGCGTTGTCGGTGTGTGGGTGGTGGTATTTTTTTCCTTTTTCCTAGTTACGATCCTCCAGGGTTGTAATCTTGTAATTTTTTTCCTGCTCTATTAATAGAAGTTCGCACCATCTCGTGCGAGTCATTAAAAAACTCAATATTCTGAGCTTGACAACTTTTAGAAAATATAGTGTTAGTTGTTTGCAATAGAGCATAAATATATGTCCTCCAGATAAGCAAATGTTGTCCAGGTTTATTATGTTACAATGAAATACTGCATCCTGTCATGAGGGACACAATAAATAGGTTTGTTAAAAAAAACATAAGGTGACAGGACAAACTTCTAACTTTATTAGTGACTAACTTTCTATCATTTCTTTCTTTTCTAGCTTGTTCCGTTCAATCTCGCCACTAGCCGTGCAATACGGGGCTGCTGTCCCATGACACTGGAGTAGTACTTGACCGTGCAAATGGTTATGGAAACGGTATGTTTAACATAAAAGGGAAAAACAAAGAAAGCAAAAGGTTTCCATGGCAGTACAACACCTGTTAGCACATTACTGTCCGGATGGCAAGTTATTTTTTTCCATGTTTCCAGGCTGCACAGGATCCAGCATCTGTACTAGAAAGGATCAAACCGCATTTCCGAGTGGATGGTCTTTGTCATGTCTCAGTACGAAAGGGGCACTCTTTTTATTTAGTTTTTGGGGAAATAATTGAAAGCTGTGCAATCATCCTACTCTTGTCAGACTGTAGATCACTGTAGCTTTTGCTTGATCTTTATTCGATCTCCCTTCCTTTTTCATGTTTCTTGATTTTTTCTATGAGGGGTTGTGTGGTTACAGGCTTACAGCAATGCTAGCTAATGGGTCTACAAAATCAAATGCCACTGATGACATGCTGCATCACCTTCGATTGATGGATATCTTTGCTGATGCATGCCCTGGACAACACAAAGCACCCTCCATTTCTGTATCCACATAATAGCTAGCCTCATACGTGTCAAAACTTCCATGTGTTTCGCCGTACAACCAACACATGTTTATGGCTGCCAGACAAGCAAGAATTATATATACGTCTCCCCCACAAGGAACATTGGAACAAACATGCTGTTCAGCTGGAGATGCATGATGCCAACGTTGACGGTGTATGGCTCAGAAGAAGAAGAAAGATTCTAATAACTCGAGTGGACGTCTACCCGTTTATTACATGTTAACTGGATAATTAAAAAAAATTCAAAAAAATTGATAAGATCATGGTTCAAGAAAGCGCTAGGCGCTAGTTGGACGGATAGGGGGCGCCTAGCGCCTAATTGGCGCCTAGGCCCCGCCTAGGCGGGCGCCTAGGTCGGGTCAAATAGTTAAATTCAAGAAATTAGTAGGCATATTGCATAGAAATTAGACTATATAACACTAAAATAGCAATAAAACACTACCTAAGTAATTTAACCGCCTAATGCACCATTGAATGCCTAATCGCGGCGGCTACCCGGCGCCTAGCGCCTAATGGGCGCCTAGGCGGCGCCTAGGGCCGATTTTTAGAACACTGGATAAGATAGATCGATATGTAATATATCGCTCTATAAACATGTAAGTTCAAATTCAACTTCTACAAGTTATAACAAAAATAACAAATTTAATTGTAAATATGTATATAATAATTTGAGCTTTGTTTGTTATTTTTGTTACAGTTCATATGTAACGTCCCGCCTCTCATAGGACGGGCCCGCTTACATTTGGCAGCTTTACTCGTGTGCACCATCCGGGAATTCCTCACTTACATTTGGCAGCTTTTATAGGTCATATACTGCCCTTATAGACTAACACAAGTTTTTTCTAAACACTTTGTCCTCACTCGTGTGCACCCGGGAAGAATTTCCCGGTCGGTCACCCATCCCGAAATTGCTCCAGACCAAGCACGCTTAACCTCAGAGTTCTTTCGATGCAACTTGTTAATATGAGTATTCTATTAATTCTATTAAGCTCTGGGCCGGGATGTCAAATCATAGAAGTTAAATGTTAACTTGTATGTTTGTGGATTGATATATTACATATTGATCTATCTTGTTCATATTTTTTTAATTTTTTTTATAACTATTTAGATGACATAAAATAAACAGGTGGACGTCTACTCAAGCTCTTAAAACAATTTCATATAAGAAACCTGATCTACAGAAACAAAAACCTGATCTACAGAAACGACGAGAATCAGGTTGCTTTTATTGGTTGCATCAGCTAGCTAGCGTTCTGCACTGAACTGTAGCTCATCTTCTTCTCCCCAGCGGTAGAGCGCCGCGTGTCGGATGGTGCTAGCTCCGGTAGAGGACTGAACTGGTGTTTCTGATGGGAAAAGCATTTGTCAGATCATACCAACCGCTGTTCTAGTTCGGTCACTGCTGTCGAAAGTGAGTTGGCATCCAGTGTTTGTAGGGTTCGGACTTCGGACAAGGTGTGTGTTGGAGTCCAGCTAACGAGGGGCAGTACTTGCTCTGACACGGCAAGCACGGAAGCACACGCCGGACAAGAGCTCACGCGACGGCATGCGCATGTCGTGCAGTGTCCATGAGGGGATCATCGGCTTCTCTTTTGGCCCCTCTCTTAAACACCACCAGTTTTGTGTCATCCGTGCATTACAATGACGGATCTCAATTCTCAAATCAATAACAAAGGTTCCAACTTAAAGAATAGATCACTCCGGTATGAATTTCATGCGTATAATTATACCACAAGTTATTTTAAAATGAACAACCTAGATAGTCTATACGATGTTTTGTATTAATAATAGAGCAGGAAAAATTATAAAACTTCTAGTAAACTTTTTTTTTACAAAACTATATTCTGAAATGTTGTAATCCGAAAAAGAAAAACAACCATACCACCGTACAATGCTACGTTAGACCAGTCACCGTCAGACCTATAACGTAGCCACTATTGAACTGCCCATGAAAGCCTCTAAACAGCCGAAAACATCACAGCCTCATAGACACCACCAGCGAGAAAGGTTGCATAAGGGACAAGTGAGAATAACATCTACTCATCCCTGAATAGACCTGCCGTCATTTAAGAGTGTCATTCCAATTGTTTGAAGGGGTAAAAAAAAACATAAACATGATCTCATAGGCAATGCTTCTAAGAAGGAAGTAATGACATAAACATCGCCACCACCTGTCCTAGGAATCTAGATGTTGTTTTTACTTAGAGGATCCCGACATGGGAGAACGAAACACCTCGATAAGACCTTTTGGAGGGATCACAACACTTGAAAATGTTGTCGTTGTCAATCCAGCAAGCCATCAGGCTAGCCTTTTACTTGCTGCTTGTTCGGCCCCTACAACTACAGCTCCATTGCCCCCAACATTCAATATTGCTAACAACGTATAGACACCTCTACACCAACACCCCTCTATCGGTTAGCCTCTACACAACTCTGCATGCTACTGCTAGTGTGGCTATAGGACAAACCGTAGCAAGAGCCAAGCATAATGTCATCCCTTAGTGTAGATCTATCCGCCGTCATTGACCTCATAAACCAATGTCACCCATGCCACTACCTTAGGGGCCGAGGACACCTACCCTTCCCTACAATGGATTTGGCCTACCGCCATCAACACTTTCGTCGCCATAGAGGCCAAGAACATTTGTCCTACCATGTCATAGATTTGGCCCACACCACCATTGTCACCAGCCACCTACAGACCACCTCCTCTCACCAGCCAGCTCCCATATGAAGCGACAGCACCTTCACTAGGTCCACACTGTTGACCAGCACCTCCGTCATGGCCTCCTCCTCCTTGCTTTGTCGAGCATTGGTTGTGGGAAACGTCGTCATGTATATCCGCTGACCGTGCCATCGCCGCACCCATGCACCTCATCATCACTGACAAGCATGGATCCAGCCTCGGGAGCCAAATCTAGCCTCAACAGAGCAAGATTTGTTTCCACGGCTTAGGAGTTAGGGCTGCCATCGCTACCGCCGCCATAGGCTTTTCCTCAATAATTTATGGCTAGTGAGTATGGGAGGATGATGGGAGAAAGCCTTGCTACCGCTTTCCTCGCAGACTTTCAGCGATGTGCTCTAGTGCCAGTGAGGTAGAGGAGAGGAGGTGGATTACGTGGTGGCATGAGTGTTAGGGTTTCACCTATATTGCCGAGGGGGATGAGGGGGATGACACAGACGATGCATGCCGGTCTTAGGCCCATGAACATGATTATACCATCAACTATTGGCAACTATATATACGCATGCAAATAATATATAACATCATGGTATAATAGAAATTGAGAGAAGACAAACTATCCACTTATACTCTCACATTATAAAAGCTTAAAACAGGATCATAACCACTTATTGTTTCCTTGTTATCTTATGAGCCACGAGCAAAATTTGAATTTCAAAAGTCAATTTTGGGATTTTTTTTAAAAAAAAGGCTTTTAAAACGTTAATACATAGTAACACAAATGGTTCTTTTTTTTTCCACAGCTTATCAAACATAGCTCACACGATCAGAGTAATTTTCCACAGCTTATCAAACATAGCTCACACGATCAGAGTAATGATCAAATTAACGCCACCCGCTCCTCTATAACAAGTAGAGTTTCTGTTTATCTCATCTTAGATACATTTTATGGCATCTGCTGGAATAAAGATCCAGCGCTAAAACACTCTGCGCTACAGCATTGCATCAACTTTCTTCTCTTTTCTGTTGCATTTGATTGCTGTGTGTGTGCAGTGAAACTGGCTGAAGTTGCCGGGAGAGGTTTCTTTTCCCCTCGTGCATCATGGAATCGTGATCCATGAGGAATCAACCAATCATGCCGATCGATCGACAGAGGAGCTGGCTGGGCCATGGCCGACTGCTCGACCGGGTTGGCCGGGAAATATCTCTTTCTCGGCCATCAATCATCATCATCATTCATCATCAATCTAGGAGATCTGGAAGGGCAACGCCTGAAGTCGACACGTGGAGAATACTCCTCCTTTCGCTGTGACCTGTCACTGTGAGTGTGAGAGACTGAGTGAGAGTGCTGGGCTCCAGGGCCAGCTATAACCCATGCCGCTCACCTGTGTAAGCTGGCAGTGTCCCTTGGCATGGCAGATGCCAGGCGATCTCCATTTGCTTTCGGTTCGTGTCTTGCAGCAGCGCACCAGACCGACCAAAGTACAGTAGTTAACGGCACAAGAACTAGTCAGTAGGTGCAATGCCGATGCAGGGTTGGCTGGCAAAGCCGCAAAGGCAAAAGCTTAGTTAGGACTGAGGCATCATGTCCAGATCAGAAGGGTTAAGGTGAGAGTTGTTTGGTTAGTTCGAATGTTTAAACATTGGTCAAAATGTCAGGCACCACAAACATTAGCGAGGTTTGATATGAACCTGAACCTACATTAATGCAAATCCCAGCAAATGTCATTACAAAGGTGGTACTTCAGTTGTTCTGCAAACGTTTTTTGATGTTTCTCCGTGACTACAGTTATAACATAGTACATTACATTATATCACAGCAATATCGTTCATTGTCCCAAGTCAATCCCTTGTTGACTGTTACCCAAAAAAGTGAGAAAAACAAAACATCTGGCCTGTCGATGAAAATTTACAATCGATGTATCTCAATGCCTAACAAGGCTGTGCTTTTGATTGTAGATAGATCTGTGTGAGCATGAATTGGTTGCTACTCCCTCTTTTTCACAATGTAAGTCATTCTAGCATTTCCCACATTCATATTGATGTTGATAAATCTAGACATATATATCTATCTAGATTCATTAAATCAATATGAATGTGAGAAATGCAAGAATGAATTACATTATGAAACGGAGGAAGTACTACATAAGACATACTAGCAGACTAGCTTACCGTACAGCAGAAACTACACATTGTATATTTTCAACTAGAGAAAGGCGCAAGAAAAGAAAATGTCTAGAGCATAGTTATACAAAAATCACTTCAAGCTTTGCACATGGATGATCTTTAATGTATTTGTCAAGATCTGCGTCATCTCTAAATCTGAACTGGTATAATGCCTGTCGTTGTGTAAGGCCGATTGGATAAATTTTGTATACCTTCAACTCGTCCCCACCTCTAATACTTGGTGGTCTTTCATCCTTCCACACAGGAACATGATTGAGCGATCTAAATTTAGCAAGCACAGCAGACTCCAAAGCACCCATAGTTAATTGGTCCGACCTGCATTGCATAGGAAAGGCACAAGTTTTAAAAAGACTAGCAGGAAAACAATCAGGTAAAATAAGTTAGAAACAATTGTATATTTAAGCTATTCAATTTGCAAGCAGCATTAGTTGCAGTAAAGACACCAAGTTTATAATGTAACAAAGCTAGAAGTTATTTTATATATGTTTTTAAAAAGAGCAAATTGCACAATAGGGCAATAGGCTAGGTATTATTACCGAAGTTTCACTTTGGACCAGGACAATGAAACTTTGGACCAAAGTTTTTTTTTTCCATTTGTTGCACACTGGGCTACCCATCTTACCGGCTGGCCTGGCATTGCCTGCATCTCACCATCACGGCATCCATGAACCCTCTGTTGTTGCTGCTGCTGCAAGGCATGAAGAGTGCATGCGCATGCAGAGTAAGATGAGTTGCTCCAAGGGGGCAGCCATTGGAGCGGTGAGGGCATGAGGTAGATGGAGGTCGGAAGCGGGTGTGAGGAAGTCGACATTAACAGAGCCTGAGCTTGGGACAACACAAATAGAGTTCAAGTGCAGGGACGGCAATGGTGGAGCCAGCGAAGCTCGAGCTCGAGGGATGCCAAGGCAAAGGCAGCCATTGCTGAAACTGAAATCAAGTTTGCGGCAGCCAGGCGGAGGTGGAAAGCGAGCTTGGGCGCTGTCAAGGCAGAACTCCTCCTGTGCCAACTACGGGTAAGCCCATTTAGAAGGAATAGCTCATGGAAGGGTGGGGACAGTGGTCATCCCAACTGCAGCTGCCTTGATCTGGAGAGGAGTTAGAGCAGGGGAACCACGGGAGGGATGTGGAAATTGGATACGCAATGGCAGTACAAGCACAAGCTCACGATTGCTTCTTCTGTAGCACCAGAAGCCAACTAACCAGGCATCCTCTCTAGAGTTGGAGAGATGGGATGGTCTAACCTGCAACAAAGGTAATATTTCCTAGCCCTATGTGAAAACATTGTTTATGCCCTGGTCCAAAGTGAAACTTTGTTCATAATACATGGCCCAATGTGCAATTCCCTCTTTGAAAAATGATCAGGAGCACTGTGATTCACAAGACAACTAAACCAGTAGCACCATATTCATCGGTGCCATCGTAAAAAACAGAAGGTTGGAAAATATCATTGCATGTGCAAGATCATTCTCACATGCAATTATATTTCTGTCTTTGTGGTGGAATTTACCTATTTTTTTCAAACTAGCACTTAAGTCCTTATAATATAAAAATATAACAGTAGTCAGGTACAAATGCACCATCTGACTATCTGAGATAATAAGGACATTAGAGTTGAGATTACATAATATAGGATGAGCATCTGCCCTTGTAACATTTTTTTTAAAAAAATCCCTTGATATTTTGCTCTTTATCATGACAGCTGCAGATAACAAATCTAACACAGGTAAATATAACAGTAATTAATTCCATACCTCAGAAAAATGCTCTCTGTCTTGAACCGCCCTCTTTCTCTGACAAACAAGTGGTATACCTTTCCTCTTTTGCTTGAACAACTACATGGGCGATTCATAAATTTTGGTGTCCTTTCCTCTTTCTCATGAATCTTCGTCGCGACATGTATGCAAAGACGACATGATGAATGAACCGCTGCCATGTCAATAAGGGCCTTGAAAGAATCAGATGGGCCATCATACTTCCATCTACAAATTCAAAACATAGAATGAGATATGCACAGCACAGAAAATGGTGACCTAATAATGGCTGATAAAGGATCTTTGACAAACTGTACAGTAATTTTATCAGCAGAATCATCTACACGTGAATGGAACCCCTGAACTACTCAAGGATACCTTCAAGCAAATCAAAGGTAATGAGGACGCCAACTTACTCTAAGCCTAAACTGCATCAGTTTTTTTATAATTATGTCTTGAATAATGGTTCCAACAAATAGATTTACAAGATATGGGAGAGTGAAACAAAAAAGACAAAAAGAAAATACACCCAGTAGAGTCTCATGGCAGTACTATAATTTGGCTATTTCTTCATTCTAAGATAAATAAGAATAATCTATCTAAAGCAGCAATAGCAAGTTAAAATCTATGTTAGACAGCCAGTTATACTAAAGACTAATTCCAGTAGCTTCTGATGGTGGTTTCATGCTTTTCCAGAGTGCCAGAGTCACATGATTGGTACCAACAAGTTTACAATAGAGTATCGCTGCAATAGCATTTTAAGATTGAGAAATGGATTTCCAGAAAAAATCTTTAATTGTAGAGTAATTTTGTTCCTCAACAAGTTACATATTTGATAATGCTTGTTTGCAAGATCTTGGTAAATGAAAAAATGAGTGGGTGAAAGCAACATCATAGCAAGTTAATAATGTATAATACAGCATTACATCTTATTCCTTAAAAGAACTATGCCAAAAATTGATAAGCATGACTCCATATATTTCCAATGCTGAACTGGTGATTGCTTTTTAATGCAAATTCAGTGTACATGCAGACATACACCATGATTATGCTTGAATTTGCGGAGATCATTAGATGTTCCAAAAATATGATTGGTGTACACGTGATGCTCCAACAATACCATTAGTGAATGAGAAACAAATCTATCTCAGGCATGAAGTCAACAGGGAAAGCAGGAGCATTTACCTCAAAGATTGATTAAAGGCTTCCTGATTTGATGCAATATGTTTCATTGTCTTGGCAATTGAAGGAACATCATCAAGCTCTTTAATGTGTAATATTGCGCCTTCTCCAGGAGAGAACTCTTGAATGTTTGGAGCACCAATCACAACTGGAATAGCTCCTGTAGCACAGCGCAGATGAAATTTTCAATCACTTCCATTCCAGTTAGAAATCTAAATTTCACAGAGTTCAAATTTAATCAATTGCTGGAATTGGAATTAAATAAAATTCATGGTGAACAGAAATAAAATGTTAATCAGTAGATATGGGAAATATGTACATCACAAATATGACAATTTGGTTTATGATTTGGAAGATCCTAATCGATCTGTTTCACAATATTTGTTCACTTGCTTCATGAAAGTACTTTCATAATATATTTCAATTGGTGAGAGTCACGATAATATGATTTTCCATGTCTGTGCAATATTCCACCCCAGAGAGATGACTAACAAATGGGCATAAAGCTTATACTAACTCTGGATCCAATGTTGGATGAGAATTTACCAATGCAAATTGTGTGGATGGGTGGGTGTGGGCTGGGGGTTTGGGTCAGGAATGCTTAATAGCTTATCCAATTACCTGTTACCAGCGATTGAAAAAACTTTTCTGTAACATAATCTTCCTCGTTGGAATTCTCAAAGGCCAAGCTAAATTTGTAGCGCTTCAAAGTTTCCACTTTATCAACTGCACCAGGCAACATATAAAGTTCGCATAACATTTCTTTCCTCAAAACATATGCAGTACAACAATAGAAATACAAACTAGTCCAATCATAAAAGCATCATTTATGTAGGCAAAGCATTTATCAGATTTTAACAACACAATATGATATAAGAAAAGGAAAAAATGTTGCCCTGGACAGTGCATCAATGTCCAAAACAAATTATATTTGCAGCCAGAAGGACCAAGGAAGAATAACTTAATGCAGAGATAGATAAAATCTTAATTAACAAAGTTGAACATAACGATAGCTCTTTGGTTTTTAATCTTTTATAGGTTGAAACATCATTTGCTGCTGCTCTAATAATAATACTATGTGCTACTCTATATACCAACTTCTGGCAGCAACATCATTTCCCAGCAATAGTTATTAAGATTTAAAAAAAGGTTATGTGCAAATATTGATGTTGAAATTATTGTGATCATATAAATAAAATGTGGAGGTCATCAGTGTGCTTAATACAAAAGTAGATTCTAAATCATCAAACACGGTATCCTTAAAGGCTTCATAAAATCAAAAAGAAAAGAAAATTTGTCATGTGATTTTCACATACCCAGTTAGGAATTATCTCAGTTAAACAGAAGGGAGATGGACCTGACAATTAGCATATTGACATAGCAGCAAGAATTGGCAGTTGTGATAGTTTTATATGGTATTCAATATTTTTGATTGCTTGGAACAATTAAAACCATGCCACGTGGAACACTTTGCTGTGGCTGGCCACTCATTACACTCTTGGAAGCATAAGGCAACATATCTCATTAACTATATACGAGTAAATTTCACAAAAGTTAATAAAGTATGTCACTCGAAATATGGAAGAGAAAGTGTACCTTTGCCATCATGATTACGATGGCAACTACCATATGAATCAATTTTGACATCTAAGCTCTCAAGCATCTCAAGGGCTTGCAAACGAAAATTACGTGCACCACAGTTTGAAATAAATGCTGCAGCTAGGGCTTCTTCAGTTTTTGGAGGCACAGGTGCCATTATATCATATTCAGCCCATGAAAAGTAGCCAACAGGTACATCTGAGGAAAGGCTTGTTGTCATCACAATTTTGTAACCTCTCCTGTGAGAGAGCATCAGGATTGCTCAGTCCATTAGAATTATGCTTCTAAAAATAATAAATCACACTGAGGATTAAAATGAATAGTTCCGTAGCTGGGGATACATGATGGTAATAGGTTCACAAGAACAATAGCATATTCAATACAATACTGGTTAATTACTATTTTACTATTTTATTTTAAGTGAGAATGTTTGAGCATCAGCACGAAGCCAATATAGTAGCCAAATAGCGCTCTTTACTTTCTTAATATTACAAATAAAAGTATTAACCTACAACCATGTGTGACTATTAACCATGTGTGACTTCTCAACATGGATAACAGAGTAGGGATCTTAGAGCCAGTATGAAAATTGCTTACATTATGAAAACATCTAACAGTTCTGAGTTTATGTACCAAAGTGAAGTCACACATGGTTACAAACTACCAAAGTGTACGTGGAACACAACAAATAAGGTTAAAATATCATTTAAATAGGCAGAGAAATCACCCAACCAGAATTAACTTGGTTCTTACCCACCCTCGAGCCACAGCAATGTTGTTCTCTGAATAATACTGAGATGACTCCATCGATCTGAGGATACTCTCTACAGTAGGATCTGGGGCAATTCCAAAAGTAGCATCAGGCGTCTTAGTAGCTGAAAACCCAAATTCACATCCTACAGAACATTTATTCCAATCCTGAGAGGGGAAAGAATGCATAAGCACGATATATGGAGAATAAGTAAAGCACTAAATGAATGACAAGTGATGGCACCAATGGTACAAACAACAATCATCATTATCTGCAATCATCACATCACAAATGGCAGTATGGCACCAACACAAGCGTATAGCACCAGGTATAAGCTTACATTAAGGTATGCAGTTGAGCATAAAGCTTGAGGGCAAGATCTTCGAATTCTCTGTTGCTAAATCTAATTTTCACAATATTTTATTTTTACACCATTTAGAAAGTGTTTGTGGAATGTTGAGTAACACACTAGAACTGCCCCCTCCTTCCTCCTGACATAATCAAACCAACATGATATCATGTGCATTCTGATCTACTATTTGAAAAAAAAAATACTGGTTCCAAACATTCACTACCACATCCCTTCATTCCCATGGAAATGATGCCCACGTAAGTTTGCTAAACCATGGTATCCTAATTTCCAGCATTTATAATCCCAATTTAATAATCATTGAGTGGTAATAATGTCAGGATATCATGACCAACCCAACAGTCCATAACCTCCAATTCGTGTCATGGTTTATGTTTAATATAAGAGGTTACTTGTTCTTTTTCACTTTGGATGATTTTGTTTGTAACAGATACAAATATGCAATTTCTTTTATAACTCGTATAATGGTATGAAGGCTAGAAGACTGTGGAGTCTATAAGCACAAAGTCAAGATTTTTCATAATCTACTAGTTACAGATGTATGTTAAGGAAGCCCCATATGTAACCTGGTGGAGAGGCCAGTGACGAACGTGTCACCAAATTTTAGGGGGTGCTAATAAACAAAACTGACAGAAAACTATCTAATAAAATAAATGACATATATGTTTTCTTATATCATCTTACTGTCATTGTTGTGGTGCAACAAATGTGTTCCATATTATACTATTGACAATAGAACTAATGGGCTTGACTCATGGACTCAGCTAATTCCCTTGGTTGCTCAAAAAAATAACAAAGCAGCCTCGCTGGCCCAAACAGCCGAAGCCCCCAAACTACAGAAGGATGTGCTTGCTAATGTGTGGGACTGGATGTGTACGTCTGGTGTGCAAAGGCTCTTGTACCAGTGGAAAGGGTGTTCTGTACTTCTGTTAGTGCCCCCAAGTAGGTCGAAATGTTGTGTAAAATCTGCAACTAAGCATGCAAGTGAGAAATTTGCAATTCCAAAATGGCAAGTATGGCGTAGATGCATAATCTGGACCTTTACATGCACGAGCTAGAGTTATATAAGTATTGCTAGCGACATACAGATAACAGAACATCGACTAGAATTAATGAGCTTTAACTCGTTGATTTGGCTACTTGGCTTTTGTTGCTAGAACAAATAACAGAACATGCACATGCAAACATGAAATCCCACGTAAGCCTCACCAGCCCAAAGCCCCAAACAACCCAAGCCCCCAAACTATAGAAGGATGCACTAGCTAACAAGTGTGTGTGTGCAAGAGCCCCCGTTGAGTCTTCCGCTGAGAGAGACTCTTGCACCATGGAAGGGATGTTTTGTTAGTGCTCTATCTTAGTTCAAATTGAGCATGCAAGGGAAAAAATTGCAATTCTAAAATGGCAAATACGACGTCAGATGCATAATCCGGACCTTTTGCACGAGCAATCCGTGTGCTAGAGTTATCTAAGTAATGTTATCCAACTAAGCAGAAGACCTGTTGAGCTGAGCAGTCCAAAAGTAGCTCTCCTAACTCAAATGCAAGAGCACAAGGAGGCGGATCTCCGAACTGAAATGGAAGAGCGCGAGGAGGGGCGGATCGGGAGAACAGGTACGAGACCTTAGCGGCGCCCCCGACGAGGACGGGATCCTTGTCGAAGTCGCGGTCGTGCGGCACGCCGTCCTCCCTCTCAAGCCGCTCCTCGCACAACCGGATGTCGCCGTCGTCCTCCTCCACCACCTCACCTCCGCCCGGGGGCGCGTCGTCCGCGTCCGCGCCGGGGACCACGACCGCTGCCTTCCCGTCGCGGGCGGGGGCGGAGGAGCGGGCGTAGAAGGAGGTGGTCCAGCTCTCGACCGCGGCGGCGTTCTTCGCCATGTCGAGGCGGCCGAGGAACGCGATCTCGGCGAGGAAGGCCGCGCCGACGAGGAGCGGCAGCAGCCACCCGCACCGCCGCCGCCGGCCCGCCTGGGACTGGGCCTGGGCCTGCGACTGCGAGTGGGACCCCTTCATCGCCACGCGCAGCTCCGCCTCCTCTCGCCGGTGGCGGAGGCGATGGGTGGGGTGGTGGGTGAGGGGCGGAGTCGTTAGACGACCTGGTCGTGGGAGTTGGCAAGGCGACCTCGTCTCGATCTTCTTTTCTCATCGTGTGGGCCCACGATGTCAGTGAGAGAGCATGGCAGAGATCCAATTTTGCTTGGGCCCATTTAACCATTCTATTTTCCTGGGCCTTTTTCTGCAGGCCTCGTGGTCTGTCCAGGAACCGGAGTCAAACGGCCCATCCTTTAGTGGGCTAACAGCTTAATTATTTGGGAAAAGTGTACTTTTACTCCCTCAACTATCGCCCGAGTATGATTTATGTCCTCCAACCACAAAACTGGGTATATCGACACCTCCATCTATTAAAACCGGTGCAAACAATGCCTCTGGGTGGTTTTTGGATGACATGACGCCTATATGGCGATTTTAACCGAGTCTTTGTCCTACGTGGCGTTTATGTGGTATTAGAATAAAAATAAAAAGAATAAATGGGACCTATATGTCATTCACATAAATAATGTATTGTAGAACCACTGACATACCGGGTTTTGTGGTTGAAGGACGTGAATCATACTCGAGAGATAGTTGAGGGAGTCAAAGTATACTTTTTCCTAATTACTTCCCTATATTTGCATGGGCTGATCAATGTGTCCCGTCTGGGCCGTCTAATTGGGCTAGAGCTGGTATACTCCGTGGTCCTTGGCATTGGCCGATTCTGACCGAGTTAGCCACGAATGAAGTTTATGCATGTCAGCGAGAGTTTAAATTCAGATCACTATTTTTTTAGATAATATTCAGATCACTATTTGGATTAGGGAATAGTTAATTGAAAAGTTATAGCTAATCTGGTACAGCCAGTAGCTCGAAAGAGACCCCTGCAAAGGTAAGAACTAAGAAAGACCGAAGAACACTGAAGAGAAAGGGAGCTAGGCATATGCAGGAATGCTAAAGCACTGAAGAAAATTCAGTGTGTTACAGAAATGGAACTTGGCATTGCTACAGTGTTGAAGAAAATTCAAGAGTGTTACAGTCGCATGAATACATGTCGGTGAACTCGGAAACGTGAGATTAACTTCGATACTGTACAGATCCAAGGCAGTACAGATTATTGCATGTGTTCTTTTCTCTCAAGATGGCACTGCAGCAATCAATCTGAAACTAAAGCAGCGCTGAATTTTCCTCATTCCGGAGTGTTCTGCAGCTGATTTCCAATTGGGCCTAGGCTAGGTCTGGGCTAAAGCAAACTAACCTAGGCCTGGGTTAGGTGTAATAAACTTTGCATTTAGTGCTTAGATTAGGTTCAAATCAGGATTAGGCTCCAACCATACCATATGCATGCATCTAGCTCGTTCTGCAACACAAAGGCAACGCCCACGAGGCGTTAGCTAGACAAAGGGAATCATCAAGAACATGCTGTGACGGTAGATTAGAACAAGCAAGAAATATAAATCGTTTCAGTTTGTCATCTGTGCATCGCATGTCTGGGAACAGCAAAAGCAGGACAAAATCTAAAGAGGTGGTTAAAACCAAAAGTACAAGACGGACGAACGGTTCTATGTATAGAGTATTTCATTGTGTCACCTTGGCCATCCATCACAAATACGTGATCCCAACACATGAGACAAGCCATGCAATAGAGTTCTGCTTGGAAAAAAAAAGACTAGTTATTGTTAATTACCATGGATTGGATTCCATTGCTCTGAATGATGCTCTGTTTGTGGTCCATGATCATGGACAGGTAGGAAAGGAGCATAAACATATTGTACAGCCAGCCAGCCAGCCAGCCCAAGCAAGACTGGCGTTGCAACCATTTCTGCATCCCCCCCAAAGTAATTAGGATTATTCATTTGAAAGATAGAATAAGAACCTAACTAAGGCATTGGTTTCTATTCCCTTATCTGTTCTTTTATGTTGATTCCTCTAACAAACTAGAAATAAAAGAAAGTAATTAAATTTGTCCTTGTCCATATACATTCATACTCGTTGGCTAGCTTCTCATGTAGCGATTCCCAACGTCAATGAGGTTTAGGGACCAGTAATATCCTAATAAACGAATACTAGCACAGTCTGAAAGAACTGAAACTTCTTTTTGGTGATGGCATATATACAAGTCCGAGATGTTCAGAGAAGCAACAAATCGACCACATATAGTACTAGAAAGACTGCAATTTTTTGTTGTATCATAGGGATTCCAATAGGTTAACTACCTACACATTCCAATGGAGGAGACATCACGAATTTTTATTTGATGCATCCCTATCACAATACGTACGTAGCTAAGTATAGCTCATTCTTTTTTCTATCTCAACCTGGGAGAGAAGAAAGTATCTTTGAATACCGTTTCAATCAGGCGCACGGGTGTCCTGTTCTTAAATCTATACGCATGCTCAGAGCACCCACAATGGTAAAATAAGATGATATCTATAAAATATGTACATATCAGCAATAGATTAGATTAATAGTAAACCACTTCAATAGTATGTCTACATGGGTATCTATAGCTCTCTAATCTATTGTATTATTTTTCTCTATATATTATCTCAAGGTTAGTAGATAGTTTTGCTCTCTCTTTATTTAATCTCTTCCAAGTAGAAAAATATGCTGACATGGATATCTTGTAGAGAGCCTATAGATAACCATTACGGGTCCCCTCATCAACTACCTAAAAAGTGATCATGGCATCTTCTTTTCTCTTCCACCAAGTTTAATTTGCCTATGCCTACAATGGCTACGTCTAGGCTAGCTTTGTTTGTTTAACACACCATGAAGCAGAACCAGAATTGTGCAAATGTTGTTGTTCACTTTGCCTTTGCATGCTGCGGACCAGCTGAGAATCTTTATTTCGGGTTGTTCCTTTGATGCGGTGGGATAGTTTTTGTGGGTATATATATGCGACTCTATTGCTACTACATGCTAGGGTTTAAATTCTGATATACGGAGTACATATGATATGTTTTTATTAGGTTTGTACTACAGATCGGTATAAAACCTATAGCGCACATGTTTTTTAATATTTCTCCATCATATATATAATTATAAAAAAATGAGAGTATAACTGCATGAAAGTATTTCTAATGAAAGAAATCTAAAAATGTCACTTTTACTTATGAAATCTTAATTATTGGCGATATAAGATGACTTCTCAAAAAATATGTACTACCACCGTTTTTAAGAGATGACGTCGTTGACTTTTTGTCACACGTTTGACCATTCATCTTATTCCAAAAATGTATGTAATCATAATTTATTTTGTTATAAGTCGTTTTTATCACTCAAAGTATTTTAAGTATGATTTATATAATGTATAAAATTTTTGAATAAGACAAATGGTCAAATATGTGTTCAAAAGTCAATGCATTCACCAATAGGATTTAATAATTGTGGGTTCTTTATCTTGTGTTGGTGCTTATTAGTTTGTGCTTATGCTTTGTTAAATCTTGGTGTGTTTGTGTGAACCCTTTGGTGTGTGGTCGCTTTAGAGCGAATTTGTGTAAAAATTGGTTGTAGCTCGTTGAGCAAATGCCAGATTTTATTTCATTATAAAAAAATAAAAAACACAAAGGGGATATAAGATTTTGAGGTTTGACTGCTTGCGCCCAGGAGCGGATCCAGCGTGGGTGCCGGAGGGACTCGAGTCCCCCTTACCCCACTGGATCACCATTGACAGAAGGAGAGATGAAAGAGTAAGAAGAGGGAGAAAATGAAGAGTAGGGGGGACTGAAGAAGGAAGAAAAAGATGAGTCTCGAGTCCCCCTTTCATTCTGGTTCTAGATCCGCCCCTACTTGCGCCTAAGACAACATCTTTCATGTCTAGTCTGATAAGATGGATTTTCATGACAACTTTACACCTCTCCCAAACAAGTTTCTTACTTTATATTCCTATTCGAGAAATGTGCAGGGGATAAATATAAAACAAAGAATTACTTGTGCACGAACATGTCAATTGCCATATACTACCGCGGAAAGAAAAGGGAACGTCCTTTGCATCCACGACTGATTCAAGCACGTAGTGGTGCTGCGTAATGATCATGTCCCTAGCTATATATACTACGCTGTAATCGCCTTTTATTTCCCTTTCGTTTATCCCCGTCAGATTCAGCAAATCACAACAGTACATTGGTGATCAATTTCTGATTAGACAAAGTCCATATCAGGGTAGAGATGCAAGGTTTTATCTCACTAATCCACATGACTAGCATTACAGAACCAGGTTGAAAGCTAACGCAATAATATTATTCCAGGTGCTTTTCTTTGCAGACCGCGGTTCGCCAACTCTATATCAGATAGATAGGCATGTAGCCAGGCAACACTGCCTGGCTGGCCCACAGCCACACGATCAACATCCCACGAATACAATTTCTGCATTGTCTAGTGAAAGTTTGGTTTTGGTGAAAAGAAAAGTTAAGGTAGGTTGAGTCCTCTAAGTTTAATATTCAAGGGAGCCTACTCCTCCAAGGAAAAAAAATAGAATTTAGTTTGTCATTTTTTTACTGATGCAAGTGATTATATTCACTAATACTCCTAGATAGAACTGTTAAATGTTTCTCTAGGATCAAGATTGACATGAACTTTGTAATGTTCAAGCTGGCCAACCAGCAGATCTTTTGTACTGTTTATTTTGTTCATGCAAAATTATTGAATCACTGTTGATGAACAAGTTGTTGCATGCATGCATAATTCCATATGCAAGAGGTGATGCATTTTCTGCATTGTTGTCTTGTAGACCATGAACCAAAAGTGTTTTCTGCACTGTTGCCCGGACCCAAAAGTAACTAAAGATTGAGAAGGACTACACTTCAGGGATAAACAAGGAGCTAACCAAAATGCTGAAATGAGATATTCATAAGTCTGGGGTTGGTGCACAGCACAAATTTATTCGTTTAAAAAATGTTTATTTTATTTTTGTTCACATTACCGCCACTGTATTTACATCTTACTACCACTCACAATTCACAGCACTGCCAAAAAAGAAAAAATCACAACACTGCAAATACCAACTGCATGCATGCAAGCTGCAACATCAGCAGACACGGCTTTATTCATGTGTCTGGTAAGTGTACACC